CTCCTCCCTCCTCCTCCTCCTCCTCCTCCTCCTCCTCCTCCTCCTCCTCCTCCTCCTCCTCCTCCTCCTCCTCCTCCTCCTCCTCCTCCTCCTCCTCCTCCTCCTCCTCCTCCTCCCCTTCCCTCTGCTCGTCCTGGCTCGTGCTGCAGCAGTCAGACGGGCCACTCGGGCTGGCAAGGGGGGGCAATGAATGAGGGGGGCAGCGAGGGCTACAGAAAAGGAGCCCTGCAGGGCCCCGGAGGGGGCCTGCAGGGCCCGACGAGGGCACCTCCTCCCGCCCCGTTCATCACCCCCATGAATTCGCTAGGGGGCCACATGCGAACCCTACCCCTACCCCCCCACGATTTCTAAGGGTGAGGGTGGGGTTCACTTCGCTCGGGAGCCCCCCTACTCGCGCCACATGACGAAGACGCCGAAAACCTCCGGACTTCGCCGGCCAATGGGGGGCTTGCTCGGGCATGGAGAGCGGTCGCGCGCGGATGCCCCTGCCCAGGACGGGGGCCGCGCTCCCCCCTCGTCGGCGGCGAGCGAAGGGGGGGAAAACGAGGAGAAGGGCTTCTAGACAAGCGCGCTCCACTACTCGCAAAGTAACTGCTCTCAAATGGCCTACTAAATCTGCCATGGGGGATGATACGTTACATCAAAATGCAGACACGTGTTCTTTTTTCGGACGTTTGCGAGTAGGCACCTTGCGAGTAGTGGGACGCGCTCGGTGAGCTTCTCAAAAACGGCGGGGCTTCTAAAAGCCCTCCGGCCTCCTGGAATACTTTCCGTGTCTTCGGGGAAATCCGAGGAAACTTCTCTCAGGGCCTGGCGGGGGGGGCGTCCAAGCCTTCGGAGGAGGCCCGCCCCTTCTAACTTCTCCCCCCCGGGCTGGCCACCGATAAAAGAGCTACACCCCCCACCTTCCCGCCAAGGCTTGGGATCGCGCTCCCCCTCGGGGTATTGCTCCTTGCCACGCCTGTCATGCATGATTGTTCGTCCCGAATGTCGAATGATATCATCCCGGCCGACCAATATCTAGCCCCCACCCGTCACCCCCTGCAGTAGGGGGACGGAGAATGACATAAACATAAAAACTCAGACGTCCGCACGGATTGCCCGGATCCGCGCTGGGCCCCCCTCCCTGGCGCGCTCCGCGCGCTGGGGGCGGCGCCGGAGGCGCCGCCAGGGAGGTCCCACGCGGATCCGAGACATCCGCGCGGCCCTCCGAGTTGTTATGTTTATGCCATTCTCCGTCCCCCTTATGCAAAGAACACCGCGGCGATACACATGCGCTTATGTTAGGAGGACGAGAAGGAGGAGGAGGAGGAGGCGGAGGAGGCGGAGGAGGCGGAGGAGGAGGAGGAGGAGGGGGAGGAGGAGGAGGAGGCGATCCATATCACGCAGGGCCGTGCGTGCCACGTGCGCGCCGCCGCGCGGGCACGTCGGAGTCGACAGCAAGCCGTTGCGCTCCTCACAATGTCGGAGGCACGGCGGCTCAAGACACAGCGAGGCTCCGTACGCGCAGGTCGAAACCATGCTAGATCTACAGCCGGACCTAGGACAGAAGAACATCCATCAAGAACATGAGACCCTCCCTCAACCAAAGCAAGCAACATATTCAAGGGTATCCTCCCCAGGATGCACAAGAACATCCAACTAACACGAAGAACATTAGGGTACCCTCCCCGAACCGACCTCAATCTTCTACCTCGGTCCGACCGTATGCGTTGTCTATAGGCACTCAGCACTGCAAGGCGCATGCGTTCCACAGCGGGTGAGAGGCCAACGTCTCCTCAGCAGACCCTCTGTCCGAGAGTGCGGGAAATTCTGCGGGCGCGCACTTCCTCATCAACTTAACCAACATCATCGACATCAACACCGCCAACGTCACCATTGCAACCGCCATCATCATCATCATCATCATCATCATCATCAGCATCATCATCAGAATCATAATCATCATCAGCATCATCATCAGCATCATCCGCAGCATCATCATCCGCATCATCATCATCATCATCATCATCATCATCATCATCATCATCATCATCGACGTCATCATCATCATCAGCAGCATCAGCATCAGCATCAGCATCAGCATCATCGTCGTCGCTCCATTATGGTTTGCCAACAAAGGTTACGGGTGAGTAGAGTGGATGTTTTCACGAGAGTTGGTGGTCATGGTGGATGCCGGCGAGGTGCATTGCACCACAAAGACTGCACCAAACTCACTGCGCCAACTATAATACACATTCAGGGTGAAGTGATGCGCTGTTTGGGATCCACGCGGGTGAACCTCTCTCTCTCTATTTATCTATCTATCTATCTATCGATCTACATATATATATATATATATGTATATATGTATATATATATACATATATATATGTGTATATATACATATATATATATACACTAGAACCACGCGCGCGCTTCGCGCGCGCTTAGGTTCTGTCGAGTCACAGACCCAGGAATCGTTGTGAGAAGAAATTGGTGACGCGAAGCGTCGTGGGGGCGTCCTTGGACGTCTGGGGTCTCCTGGGGCCTCTTGAGGGGCCTCCTGGGGGCCTCCTGGCGGCCTCTTGGGGCGGAAGGCTCGAGCTTGCGGTTCGTGGTCCCCCTCTGGGCCCCCTCTTGGGCCCGTCTTGGGGCCCTCTTGGGCCATCTTGGGCGCCTCTTGGGCCGTCTTGGGGCCCTCTTGGGCTGTCCTGGGGCCCTCTTGGAAGCTTCTTGGGCCGTCTTGGGGCGGTCTTGGGCGCCTCTTGGGCCGTCCTGTAACGTCGGAAAGCCCAAAAGGCGACTTTGTTGAAAATGTACGTTTTACGAAGGGAATGGGTCAATTTTTGCGTCTAGGGGCCCTCTTGGGACGCATGTTGGAGGCTTCTTGGGGCGTCTTGGGGGCGTCCTTGGACGTCTGGGGTCTCCTGGGGCCTCTTGAGGGGCCTCCTGGGGGCCTCCTGGCGGCCTCTTGGGGCGGAAGGCTCGAGCTTGCGGTTCGTGGTCCCCCTCTGGGCCCCCTCTTGGGCCCGTCTTGGGGCCCTCTTGGGCCATCTTGGGCGCCTCTTGGGCCGTCTTGGGGCCCTCTTGGGCTGTCCTGGGGCCCTCTTGGAAGCTTCTTGGGCCGTCTTGGGGCGGTCTTGGGCGCCTCTTGGGCCGTCCTGTAACGTCGGAAAGCCCAAAAGGCGACTTTGTTGAAAATGTACGTTTTACGAAGGGAATGGGCAAATTTTTGCGTCTAGGGGCCCTCTTGGGACGCATGTTGGAGGCTTCTTGGGGCGTCTTGGGGGCGTCCTTGGACGTCTGGGGTCTCCTGGGGCCTCTTGAGGGGCCTCCTGGGGGCCTCCTGGCGGCCTCTTGGGGCGGAAGGCTCGAGCTTGCGGTTCGTGGTCCCCCTCTGGGCCCCCTCTTGGGCCCGTCTTGGGGCCCTCTTGGGCCATCTTGGGCGCCTCTTGGGCCGTCTTGGGGCCCTCTTGGGCTGTCCTGGGGCCCTCTTGGAAGCTTCTTGGGCCGTCTTGGGGCGGTCTTGGGCGCCTCTTGGGCCGTCCTGTAACGTCGGAAAGCCCAAAAGACAACTTTGTTGAAAATGTACGTTTTACGAAGGGAATGGGCCAATTTTTGCGTCTAGGGGCCCTCTTGGGACGCATGTTGGAGGCTTCTTGGGGCCTCTTGGGGGCGTCCTTGGACGTCTGGAGGCCATCTTCAGCATCTCGGAGCCCTCTTGGAGGCCTCTTGGAAGTTTCTTGGGCCGTCTTGGGCGCTCCTGGGGCCGTCTTGTCTGACCGGGGAGGCCTCCGGCAAGCCCCGACGAGCCTCCGGGCCCCCCGGAGCCCACATTTGTGGTCGAGGTCCCGGCCCCGGGCCCCCGGACCCGGTGCGCCGTTATGTATATATACATATATATATATATATATATATATATATATATATATAGATGTGTGTGTGTGCGTTTGCACACAAAAGTGGCCCTTCAAGTCTCGTAAGCAGGCAGAATAGAGAGAGAGAGGGAGAGAGAATGAGAAAAAGAGAAAGAGAGAGGGCAGATAAGAACACTTAGAAAGCGAAGATTTCATGGTACCACTGATTGCCAGTATCCTCCTTTTCTTCCTTCTCCCTGTTCGCATAGTTACACTTCCAGGCCATCCTCCTCTGTTTGCTGCTGGCGCTCCTCCCTGGAGTGCCTCTTGGAGGCCTCGCGAAAACTTCTTGGGGGCCGCTGGACGCCCACTGGCGCGTTTGGGGGCCTCTGGGCTCTTATCGGGGTCCCATTGCTGCAAATCAGGGTCTCCGTCAAAAGCGTCTTGGGGCCATCTTGGGCCGTTTTGGGGCTCGCTTCGGGCCATCCCTTGGACTTTCTCGATGCCCTGTTGGCTCGTTTGATACGATTGTCGGGGCCTCTTTGGCCGCCTGCAGGGCCACTTGGGTGTCTTCTGATGTTCGTGTTCAGACGTCCTGGGGGTGTGAGGGGCCGCTTCGGGCTCTCGAGGGGTCATCTGGCCGCCCTCGTGACCGCCCTACGGCAAATTTGCGTCGTGACGACCCCAGCGCTGGTTTCCGACACCGCGTGGATCGTTCAACCTCGAACGATCGGCGGCTCTTTGATCGCCCGATCGTTTCATGTACGCCGATTCTGGGCCACTGGCGGCGTTCAACCTTGAACGCCCGCGGCGGGGTCGCCGCTGGTCGGTACGACGCGAACCTACTGTAGGCCCTCGGCCCCAGGCCCGAGGGCCAGCAGTAAAGTCCGGGGCGGCCCGGCAGAGCGAGGAGGCGTGTTGCAGGAGCGTCCAGTGGGAGGTTCGGGGGCCACACTTACTGTTTTTTTTTTTTGAGGGCCGGGGCGCTTGCCCCCCCCCCGTAAAACATAGAAACAACAAGGAAGTGATATCACAGAAGACGAGGAGCAGGGAGGAGGGAGGGGCACGGAGGAGCGCGTGGCAGGACGAGGAGGGAGGAGGCGAATGGATGCTGGCGGAGGAGTGGAAGAGGAGGCGAAGGGAGAGAGAAGGGTGAGGAGCCCTCCTCGGACTGCCCCGCGACTATGGTGGCGATGTTCGGCCGCGAGGTGAGCAGGGTGTGGCCACCGAAGTAGTCACCAGACTTCAGCGTGCACCTGAGGCGTCATCCTCCGTCCTCCCGTGCCTCCACCGCCCAAGGACTTAACGTTAGGTCGGGCATATCCTCCGACAGGCGGATCTTGAAGAAAAAAGCAAAACAGTAAGAAAAGGATCAAACGTGGTGATGGTCGACAAATCGTCCCCAGACGATTTGTTGGCTATGTGAAGTATATCTCCTGTAGAGGGACATGCCCGACTTAAGCCAAGGAGTTAACGACTCCGCTGGAGCGTCAAAAAGATTTGCTCCAGATCTCTTCCTGGAGAGATCTTTCGAATTTCCTCGATCTGCACACCGTGGAGGCCAGTCCACAAGAAACCTTCCAGGAGAAACCCAACCCTGAGACCCCAGGACGTCCATTGATGTGTGGCGTGGGAACGTCACGCTTTCCATGGCAAAACCATCGAAACCCAAGAAACCCAGGGCACCCTGGAGGCAGGCAGGATGTTTCTTGGCATGGGCGTTCACTGCAGATTTGCCTGGCCTGATCCCCGCACGTCGATCGGAGGGCAGTCGTCAAGCCCTTGGGGACCCCGCCTCCACAAGGCCCTGTTAATGCTGGCGCTCCATCTTGCCTCCTCCTCCTCCTCCTTCTCCTCCCGCCGTGCCTCGTCACCGATCCATCCTCTTCGCCATGCGTTCTCCCCCCCCCACATGTTCCTTCCCGATTCCCCTCCTCCCCATGCGCAGCCGTCTCCCCCCTCACGCCCCCCACCACCGTTCCACCTCCCTTCGCCACCTCTTTGAACCCCTCTTCCCTTATCTTCTCTCTCCCTCGTCGAGCTCGTCGTCCTCCTCGTCGTCCTCATCGTCGTCCTCGTCGTCATCGTCGTCGTCGTCATCGGCGTCGGTATCGTCGTCGTCGTCGTCGTCGGCGGCGGCGTCGTCGTCATCGTCGTCGTCGTCGTCGGCGTCTTCCTCCTCCGCCTCCTCCTCGTCCTCCTCGCCCTCCTCGTCCTCCTCGTCCTCCTCGTTATCCTCGTTCTCCTCGTCCTTCTCGTCCTCCTCGTCCTCCTCGTCCTCCTTGTCCTCCTCGTAACCCTCGTCCTCTTCCTCGTCCTCCTCCTCCTCCTCCTCCTCCTCCTCCTCCTCCCATTCCTCCTCCTCCTCCCATTCCTCCTCCTCCTCCTCCTCCTCCTCCTCCTCCTCTCCCCTTCTCTCCCTCCTCCCCCTCCTCCTCCTCCTCCTCCTCCTCCTCCTCCTCCTCCTCCTCCTCCTCTCATTCCTCCTCCTCTTTTTCCTCCGCTTCCTCCTCCTCTTCCTCCTCCTCCTGTTCCTCCTCCACCTCCTTCTCCTACTCCTCCTCTCGGGTGTGACTTCCCGCTGCCTACTCACGGCCTCGCCCCTGCTGGTCGCCCCTTCCCCCCTCCTGATCTGCTGAATCTCCCCTCGCCGTTCCTCCTCCGTAGCTATTTTGATTCAAACATGGACTCGAAGCTCTCTGTAACAGTTTGGCTTCCAGGCAAGCTCAGAGTCGTGTCCGACGCCTCAACGTGGCGCGTGGGTGGCACCGCGTCTTCACCTGTTTCATTGGGTTGCTGATCGCGGTGGCGAAGTCGGACAAAGCGTTGAGCAGGGCTCGGCATCTTTTTCGTGTTCTTCTTGCGGGGATTGGTCGGGTCAGCTCAATCTTGGCCTGGGTCTTCCCCATCTTCGCCTGGTTCCTGAACCCGTGGCCTCTCTTTTTCCGCACGTGCTCACCAAGTTCTCTGTGGGTTCCAGCAATAAGTACCTGGCTATTGGCTGAGCCTGGCCAGCGCAAGGCAAGGCAAACGCTTTTTGTGTCGGCTGAGCCTGGCCAGCGCAAGGCTTATTTCCTGGGGTGTTTGTGGTTGGTGCTTTCTTTCTTGTCTGGCTGTTGGTGAGGCATGTTGTGGAGAAAGCGAGCTCAGTACACGTGCAGCTCACGAGTTTGTTATGGTAAGAATTTGCCCAGTAACCTGTGCTGGGTTTCAGCATGGACATGGCCGTATCGAACTGAATTCATATCTGATTGATCCGGCTTCCATTTTTGTTGAGGAGTTTTCACCTGACGTTTTGTCATTGGCCTGCAGTACTCTGCATTTTGTTGTTCATTGCACGATCTTGTGGCTGGTGCAGAGAAGGAGTGAACACATTTGTTGTTGCCAAAACGGCGCGAATATACTTTCTGCGTGGCTGGCAGTATTCAAGTAGGGAGGTATTCATTCGAGGTATCATTCAGTTGTTCATTGGGCTTCTGTATCCCGCCAATCGTGTACGTGTTGCTGGGCTCCATACTCCTGTTCATTGCAGCTCCTCTTCTTCGGCCTAACCGTCTGGTTCGAGGGTTGAGGCGGCCTGGGATGGCGCTCGTAGCGTTTCTCGGGGGCAAGTGGCCGTAGAGTTAGCCCCGCACAAGCCGAGGTCATCTCGTTGTGTTGGTAGGATCGCTTCGCGATAGCTCCAGTCCAACCCCTCGCCGTTCCTCCCCCTTATCTGCCTCCCGTAAGGCGAAGCCAAGACGAGGATGCAATCGGATGAGGACAAATCGAGAATCTCTGAGATCGGGGCGGCTATGGAGCCGGTAGCGGGCGCCGCGGCTTTCTCAAAGCGTTTCGGAACGCTCTGAGAGCGTTCCGGAACGCTCTCAAACGGATTGATCCTCGTCCTAACCTAGGGCTCCCAACTTCGCGCTTCGCGCTGCGCGAAGCGCGAAGAATAACTTCGCGCTCTCGCGCCGCCCTCCCAAAGGGAGAAGAGGAGGATGAGGAGGAATTGGAGCCGAACCGCGAAGCGCGAAGCGCGAATAACTTCGCGCCCTCGAGGGCGCCCTTGTTTATCCTCGTCCTAACCCCGTCCGATCCCGCCTTCCCCTCCAGGGCGCCTGAGCTCGGGCGGCCGCGAGGCGGCCTCTCTCACGTACACCAGCGCCACCCCGGACTGGATCAGGTAGAGCGCCTTCCCCGTGTCGCCTATTGCGCGATGCCGAAGGATTGCAATCCTTCGTTCAAGCGAGGGTTTTTTTGCAATCCTTCGGTTTTTTTGCAATCCTTCGAAACATTTGTTGTTAATTTCCCCTCCGCAACGTCCGTGACGGGGGGGGTCCGGCCTCCGCGGGGGTAGCGGCAGCGTGGCAGGCGCGGGCATAGTAGCAATCGCACCAGCGCCTGTGGCAGTAGCAGTGGTAGAAATAATCAGAGTGGTAGTCGTAGTCGTAGTGTAGTAGCGGTAGTGGTCGTAGTAGTAGGCGTCATGTTGGTAGTAGTGGCAGTAGCGGAGCACTTTGTATGAGTAGTAGTCAGAGTAATATGCTGTTTGGTTGTGATCGTAGTCAAACTAATATGTATTGTAGTGGTATATGTCCTAATTGTAATGCTTCCAACAATGTATTAGCAATAGGAATTATATAAGTAGGCGTGGTCGTTAGTGGTGGATAAAAAAAACAGCACCTGTACAAGTATTTGTGGTAGCTGTAGGTATTTGTGGTAGCTGTCGGAATAAGGATAATAATGAGAGTAGCTGTAGGTGGACACGTCATATTGAAACTACTAATAATGCCACCAGCCCGTGGGGCTACGGTCGCCTAGCGAAATGTGCTCCTCCATCCACCGACAAAAATTCTCTTCGGCCAGGCTTGCCTCCCCCGATCCCTGAGGTTATTTGGCGAGTTCCGCAACTTGTTAGAGCGCCCAAGATGGTTCCGAAACGGCCTTCGATGCTCCAAGATGGCCTCCAAAGCGGCGGACAGTGGACGAAGATGGGTCACGATAGCTTCCGACATACCTCCAAGAGGCCCGACGAAAGCCCCAATGTGGACCCAAGTGCTCTCGGAGCCGAAATCAATGAGTTTGGCCTTCTCGCCTTTTCGATTCAAATGCGCCTTGCTGTCTCCACGCGCCCCCCTCGCGCCGACGGCCCCGCCCCCGCCCGGGGCCTCGGCCCCCGGACCCTTCCAGAGAGGGGCCACCCTGCGGATCCAGGCGCGGCAGGAGGAGGAGGAGGAGGAGGAGGGAGGAGGAGGAGGAGGGAGGAGGAGGAGGAGGAGGAGGAGGAGGAGGAGGAGGAGGAGGTCAGACGGCCCCACAGGCGTCCAAGATCGGTCCAGGAGCGTCCGAAGAAGGGCCCCAAGAGGCGAGCTTGATCGGCCCAAGGGCGCCCCAAGGGGGACCAAACTTCACGGCCCCCCCCTTTTGATCGATGGCCCCGAAATGCCCCAAGAGGCCTGCCAGGGCTCCCAAAGGGCCCCCCAAGAAGGCCCCAAACTTCCCCAAAAGAGCCCCAAGAGGACCCCAAGATCCGGCAAAAAGCGCATCGAGAGAGCTCCAAGAGGCGATCTTCTTGAAGGCCCTGTCATCGTCCTCATTGTCCTCCTCCTCCTCCACCCCGCCGCGGTCCTCGTCCTTGCCCTCATTGTCTTCCATTTCCGTTTCCTCCTCTTCCTCGTCGTATTGGTCGTCATCATCGGCTTCCTCCTCTCCTCCTCATCCCCCTTCCTTCCCCCCCACGCGGGCCCCAGGAATGGCCCGAAGAGGTCCTCCAAAGCCACCCCCTTGCTCCCTGAGTTCTCTCTGTTTATCCTGGTTGCCCGTTCTGTTTCACTATATGTCTCTTCGTCTGTTTTCCCCCCGCCAACTCTCATGGGCAACATCCCCGGACGGGCTGGTGGGGATATTTTTTTGGTCGGCGGCTCCGAGGCGGCGGACAGGGAGCGGTAGGCGTCGTCTGGGCCAGCAGGCGAAGCTAATTAGCTACAACAGGCAATGCACCTGCAGTAAAACCCGCAGTACGCGAGTATGCACTTGCAGTAAGCAAAATGATCGATTAGACGCTGCGGAAGAGTCGCCCTGTCGGCGCCAGTCCGCGCAACCAGCCTATCCCATTAGGCTGGTGGGGATACGCAAAGCGTGAAGAGTAGTAGACGTCGTAGTACGAGTAGCAATAACAATCGTAAGAATGAAACTCCTGCTGGACAAAACACTGGCACTGACAATCGTACTAAGAGCGATGGGAACAAGAGGAAAAGTGGTAGTAGCATGCGCAGTCGACATCGCAATAAGAAAGTGATTTCGTGGCGGTAGTGATAGTCGTGGTTGTGGCAACGCTCCTTAGAAACGCACTTGTACGTCGTACTCTCGGTTACGGGCTACGATACAACAACAACAACACGTGTAATGGTGGGGATCAGCATCAATGGTGATAACGACTAGACCAGCAATCGAAGATCCCACTGGTGCTGGTGCAGCCAGTGCAGTGGTACGATCACGATTTATAATCCGCCACCCTGCCTTTGAGGCACGCCTTGGGGTGTCCTCTGGCTCTTGGTCTAATCCCTCGAGCCCCAGCCCTCGATCCTGGGGATTCCTTGGGGGGGCCTGAGCCCAACATTGGCAAAGCTTCTGGGGCGCGTCGCGCATTCTCGAAATACTTTTCGGTGGCAAAATGCCCCCAAGACGGGCCAAGAGGGCAATGCCCCATCCGCCCCGACCACTTTATGTTTCGCGTCGCAGCCCCGCGCCCCCCCCTCCATCTCCATCCCCCCCCACATCCTCCCCCCCGCAGGCCCCTCTGTGGGTTCCTTGGGTGTCTGTTGGAGGCATCCTGGGAACATCCGAAGGTCTTTGAAGCCACCTTGTGGGGTGCGGCCCTCAGAGCATCCACGAGCTCGCCCTCCAAAGCCCCTCTTGCGGCCGTCTGTGTTCCCTCCTTCCCCGATGTCTCGCCCCTCTTCTCCCCCTCCTCCTCCACCTCCTCCTCCAGCCTTGTTCCTTGTCACCGACTTCTCCTTGTCCCCCCCGAGGCAAGTCGAAAGGGCGGGCTGGACGTTTCGCCTGAGAGTTCCTCACCATTATGAATTATGACCCTGAAGCTTGAGCAGTAACAACAGTTTCCCCGATGAAGGGCGTGTCGTTTTCAAAATGTGCCTCTCGCCTTAGCACCGCGCACATTCGTTCTCAAAATTTGCAAGAGCTTCACGTATGGAGGGCGGGCCGTTTTCAAAATCTGGCTCTCGCCTTAACGCCGCACACACTCGTGTATCACGGTTCACAAGCTTCACGGGTTGAGGGGGGGTCGTCTTCGAAATGTGGATCTCCCCTTAGCGTCGCGCACATTCGTTTCTCACAATTTGCAAGCGTTTCAAGGATTGAAGGCGGGCCGTTCTCACAACGTGGCTCTCGCCGTAGCGCCGCGCACACTCGTTTTGAAATATCTGCAAGGGTTTCACGGATCGAGAGCGGGCCCTTCACGAACTGTGGCTCTCTCCGTAGCGCCGTCCCTATTCGTTTAAAACGTTGCAAGAGATCCACTGGTTCCCATGGTCAACGTACCAGGAACGGTCTTTTGGAGAGATTCAGGACCATGAGGGTGCAACAATGACGTTGATTCGCGGTGTTGAAGTCACAATAATGGCGTTCTGGCGCGATTCAAGATCGTCAAGGCGCAGAAGTCAGGTTGATCCGTGGCGTTGGAGCCGCGAGAATTATCTTCTGGCTCGCTTCAAGCTCTTCAAACGGTTGTCTTCCGACGAGGCAGTTCCCTCGGTGGGAATGAACCGTTGTATGAGCATATCAAGGGGGAGCTTGGAGGGAGGGTTTATCCCAACATCGCTGATGACTCTTAGGTGTGCACTGGTCATCCTCCGCCTCAGCTTTTGATTCATGGCACCCGTGCTACTTGTAGAACAAACACTGTCCAAAAGATGTTTCCCCGAGCTGGAAGCAGGGAGGGGAGAGGGTACAGTCATCGCGCTACCATGAGGGGAGGATCCACCAGCATCGAACAAGAAACGCGGATCGAATCGGATTGTGCGTCGAAGCGGACCGCATCGGAACGGAGCAGAAATCGAATCGGATCGGCTGCACCGAGATGCGCAACAACGCCATACAAGCGTCGGGTCGCAAAGGATCGGCGAGACATCGAAGTCGAATCGGATCGGCTGCACCAAGATGCGCAGCAGCGCCCTGCAAGCGTCGGGTCGCGTCGGATCGGCGAGGCATCGAAATCGAATGGAATCGGGCAGACCAAGTCGGCGAACTCGAATCGAATCGGATTGGCCGATCGAATCAAACCGCATTCGGCCGACACAATCGACCGATCGATTGGCGAATTCGAATCCACATCGAATCGGATCAATCGGATCGATGTGGACCCTGTGAGGGAAGCAAAATAAGACGAAGCCAGAACGAGGATCAATTCGGGTGATGATTCGTCGAGAAGCTCTGAGATCCTGCGGCTCTGGAGAATGCCTAGAGCGCCGCGGCCTTCTCGGGGCGCCCCGGAACGCTCACGCTCTGGAACGGACTTGTCCTCGTCCTAGCCCCGTCCGACCAAAATCAGGAAAGGACGGGGTGTTTCTATGGACACGTCGAGCCTTGGCCCCGAACAGGTTTGCCCGACCCGAATCTGAGGAGCGGCTCGAAAGCCAAAAAAACCCACCGGACTGAGACCAGTGCTCCTCATCGCGGCGTCTTGCCTGTATGGGGAGGGACATGCAATAGCCTGGGTTGCTTGCACGCGCGAGCGGATCGCCTCTGCCGCGCCGCGTCGTAAAAACTATGGGGAGGCATTACAGGAAGAAGGGGTGTGGTGTGGGGGGGGGGGATGGGTGTGCGGGGGAAGATTGGGAAGGATCGGAGGCACACCGTGTTGCACCAGCAGACCCCATCCAGAACGGCACGGGTCGGGTGGCCTCCTCCTCCTCCTCATGGTGCTCCTCCTCCTCCTCCTCCTCCTCCTCCTCCAATTCCCGTGCCTACCACGAGGAGCCCCGAACAAGGAAAGAAACGGGTTTTTTTCCAGCCGCGGCGAGCCTCGGCGACAAAGCGGTTCCCCGACCCGACCCGGAGTCAGTGAGCGGCCCGATCACCAGAGCTGCTCCTGGGCCCACGTGCTGCCAGAGCCCGAACACCGGAGCTGTTCCTGGGCCCGCGTGCTGCCAGAAGGAACGAGGAATACTCGGGGATGGACAGACCCCCCTTTAGTGAAACGTGGTTTAGCGAAAACGACCTGAAGCCCAATCCTGGCGGGCGCAAGCCTGGAAAATGACGGCCACGGCTCCTTTTCGAGAACCGAAAACGGACAATTCACTAATCGATGTGTCACTGTCGGGGGTTCTGTCCACCCCCGAAATAAGGCACGGCGGGGCTTTTCCCTGGCCGCTGCAAGCCTCGGCCGCGAAAGTAAGCTCCCCGGCCTGCACCCGAGGAGCGGTCCACCAAGAGCCACAGAACCCCTCCCGAGCCCGCAGTGGTTTTTTTTTATCTCGCCGCCGTACCTGTACAGCCGGGCTCGATTGGAGAAGACACGCGGGAGGCCACAAGGCCCTTCCGGGGGCCACGCTGCCACAGAAATGCAGGAGTCATGGGTCGCAAGACACAGGACGCGAAGGTGCCCTTGATCTGGCACGGTCGACCTACTAATCCGGGCCGCCTGTATGGGGAAGGATTGCAGGAACAAGGGAGGCACAGATGAGCGTTCCCACCCTGGCCTTGGGAGACCAACGTCTGCCCTGGCCTCCACACGCGCGACGTCAGCGAGTTCGCCATCTTGGGAAGCTCCGACCGAGGCAAGTGGTTCATCAGCAGGGGCACCTTCTTCAAGAAAGCCACCTGTGGAGGAACAAAAGACGTCACGAAAATAAGCTGGGGGCGGGTCCGCGCGAATATCTGGCTCGGCGCTGGAACCCCATTCCATGGAGCGCGAAACGCGCCAGGGGCGACGAAGGCGCCGCAAGGGCAGCCCAGCGCCGACTCAAGGACAAGCCCTCGCGGACATGCGGCAATTTACAACACACAGTCAAGGTGCTACCTCACGGAACGCAAAATAATGAACAACGTTCCGTTTTCGGGTCGGAAGCGCCTGGGCGCACGCGGGGCGCTAGATGGGTGCGGGCAAGGTTCGTATCCATATCCAGTGCGTCGGGGATTTTTTGGGAAGGATCATCGCAAGGCCGAGGCGCACTGGATATGGATAGAAATCTAGCCTCTAGGGGGCAAATTTATCCATATCCAGCGGGCCTCTGGTTTCTGGGGAAGGGAACCCGAAACTCCATATCGCAGTGGACATGGACAGAAGTATTGCCCGCACTGAGCAGTAATGGAAGCTCCCAGAGAACAACGAGCCGCTTTCCGAGCCCGAACCCCCCCTGGCGACGACCTAGCGCCGCCCCTGCCGCGCTCCGCGCGCCACTGGAGATGGGTCCAGCGCCGATGCAAGAAATCCGCGCGGAGCTTGGACAATCGATGTTCGCGCAACACTCACCTCTCCCAGTGTCTAGAATCGTCGCAGGATTTGTTTTGTTTTTTGTTTGTTGCTGTGTTTTTTTCTGTTGTTTCTTATTTTCCCTTTCTTTTCACTGGGGTCGGGGCTTCAGCTGACGCTGGGGGCAGTTTGCGCGGCTCGCAACATAGCAACGCCATTCAGCGCGCGCGGGGGCGCACGCGGGCACTCAGAAGCGCGCAGCTACTGGGGGAAACGCCCGCAAGCGGCAATTGCGAGACCATGGGCGCTCACAGGCAGGCGGAAACACTGGCAAGCACTCCCGCGTGTTTACACCTTCCCAAAAAGGTTGGCGAGACCTTCCACGCCTGCCCACGAGCACCCGCAACTGATTACGAAGCGCCCGCGGGCGGTCGCAGTCGCGGGCACGCGCCCAAAGGCGGCCACACAAGCGCAGAAACGCCCGCCGAAACCTTCCCCGTACGCACTGCTCCGCAGGCACTCGGAGGCCTCCGCCCAGCGTCGCGACTAGGGGGCCACGTAGTGAGTCGGGCGAATGTTTCTCAGCCTTGCCGGTCGCCCTCGGCATCCCTGCGCGCGCTGGCAATGGGCGTTTTTTACAGACAGTTTCCGGAGGCCCATCGACCCCCAACGCATATTGAACTGCTGATGAGGGGGCCTGAGCGTGTTCCAACATTTACAAGAACGTTAGGTCGCAGAAAGGGGGCATGGCCACAGACGGCCAACAATAGATGCTTGGGCTTGTGAACTAACATATTTTATGCATGGGCAAGTAAAAAATACATGACGCATGCGCCGGTATTGAGAAATATACATGTATGGGCGGGCGTACATAACGATATGCTTTGGTAGGCTTTCACGGGTCTCATGGGGTTCGCTCGTCGGGTTCTCACGTGTCTCGCGGGGTTCGCTCGTCGGGCTCGTCGGGCTCTCACGGCCTCGGAGGGCTACAACAAGACCCCCAAAGGGCCCCAAGAGGATTCCAGATGGCCCCACAAAGGGCAAATCAGGACCCCAACAGGGCCATATGAGGGTCCCAAGAGGTCCCCAAAGATGTGTCACGGCCGTGAAACATCCCCGGGGCCCTCTCGGGGCCCTCTTGGCCCCCCCCCCTGGGAGCCTCCTTGGGCCCCTCAAAGACGGCGGCAGAGGCCTCAGGAAGAATCAAGAGAGGGCTCCAAGAGGGCCTCAAGAGGCCCCCAAGAAGGCCCACGGGATTATGCACCACAAAGGGGTCGGTTGGTAGATATTCCTGGGCACCTCTTGGAGACATCTGCGGTGCTCTTGTGGGCCATCTGGGGGCCCCGGGGAGCCTTGTGGGGCCCCTTTTTCGGGCCCTCCGAAGCCGTCTTCCATCCTGCCTCCTCCTCCTACTTTATCCTGTTTCCTCCTGCAACCCCCGTCCTCTGCATCCTCCTCCTGCCTCCTCCTCCCCCCCCTCCTCCTCCTCCTCCTCCTCCTCCTCCTCCTCCTCCTCCTCCTCCTCCTCCTCCTCGCCCTCCTTCATCCTTTCTTGCACCTGCATATTATGTTTCCTCATCATCCTCCTCCCTCCTCCTCTTCCTCCTCCAGCTGCCTCCTCCTGCCTCCTCCTGCTCCTCCGGCCCCTCAGGGCAACAGGGGCCCCGGAGCATTCAGAGGGCCGTTGGGGTCCGCATTGCGCTCCCCACTGCACTCCCCGCTCGCGCCCCACTAACGACTGTCACAGGGTCCGTGGCCATGCCGATTCGGCTCAAAGTCGAGTGCCACAGTCGAGTGCGAAGTCCCGCTTAAGATTTCTCGTGGGCTCGTTGGTGGGCTCGCTAGTGGGCCCCTTAGTGGGCTCGTTAGTGGGCTCGTTAGTGGGTCGTCAGTGGGCCCCTTAGTGGGCTCGTTAGTGGGTCCCTTAGTGGGCTCGTTAGTGGGTCCCTTAGTGGGCTCGTTAGCGGGCTCGTTATTGGGTCTCTTAGTGGGGGCGTTCGGGGGTCCGCTCCTGGGCCGTTCGTGGACGGCCTCCTGGAAGAGCCTCGTTGTTGCCTGGTGGGCTTCTTGATGCGAGCCCTGAGTGACTTCGCCCAAGAGAGTCCGACAGGTTTCAAGACCAACCGATGAGAGCCCAACGGGAACTTCGAGAGCCCGACGGAACCCGACGGAGCCGGAAGGAGCCATACGGAGCCCGACGGAACACGACAGAGCTCAAAAGGGAAAGGAAAAGGCGACAGGATGAGCCCGACGAAGCCTGACAGAGCCCGACTAGAGAAGGGAGGAGGACAAGGAAAGGAGGAGGGAGGATGACAATGGGAGATGAGGAGCCCGACGGAGCCCAATCGAGCCCGCAAGAGCCCCACGAGAGCCTCGCGAGAACCCCTGGGGGAGCCCGGCGAGAGCCCCACGTGAGCCCCACGAGGCCCCGGAGCGAACCCCGAGGTACGCCCAGCGAAATCCTTGCGGGGAACCCCATGAGAGCCCCGCAATAACCCCGCGAGAGCCCGACAAGCGAGCCCCACGAGACCCGTGGGAGCCCAACAAAGCCCCACGAAAACCCCGCGAGGCAATGCCGGTCCCAAAGACAGTGCTCGAGGGAGGCAGGCCACGTATTTTGACGGTCGAGTCATCGTTACCACATGTTGGATGCACTTGTGCATCGCTCTCGTTCTTCGCTGGCCCACGCACGTTTTTTTCGTTACCCGCCCATGCATGCATATTTCCATATGCTGGCCGATGCTGAGTGTCGCGTTCTAAACCGGTTAATGTTCACATGGTCGCACATTGGCCCATGCATATATTGCGCGCGTCTGTGGCGAAGGTCTCCTTTGCAGCTTCACTGCTAAACATGTCGAAGCACCCGCAAGTTCCTTAATCGGCAACGCAATTTGGGCCGATGGGTCGATGGGCCGTCGGCAGTCGAATGCAGAAAAAGCACCCCCTGTCAGCGCGCGCAGGGATGCCGAGGGCGACTGACACGGCTGAGAAACACTCGCCCGACTCACTATGTGAGCTTCCAGGGCACGACACTGGGAGGAAGTCTCCGAGTGCCTGCAGGGCGGTGCATGGCAATTTGTGAGCGTTTGACAGTAATGGCCACCTGTGAGTGTTTTGCAATGTCGGGAAGGCGTTGGCGGGTCAATTCCAAAGCACGCCAAAATAATGACCACACGTTTAAGACGACTCCGCCGCTATCATGCAACGCGCATGCCGTTGGGCATGCACCGGTCCCCGCCCCGCGCAATCGCCATGGCCACGAACCATTCTGGCGAGATGCGCAACCGTGGGCATACGCGCGCCCGCGATTCAGCCACCCCCCTCGAGAAGGAGGGGGCAAAACCATAGCGCCCGAATCCAACAAAAACGGCAATGAGCAATGAGTTCGGAGCGCGAGTCCAGCGCGCGCCGCAAAAACGAAACAAGAGAAAAACAAAAAAGCAACAACAAAAACATGAAAAAACACCACTAGTGGATCCTAGCCTCGGGGAGAGCTGACAATACAGTCGGGGCGTTGACCTAAGGAACCCTATATAAGGAACGAGGCCCCTTTTTTTCCATAAGTTAACCTTCGATTTCCTGCCGAAAACATGAGGAACACCTGAAGCAAGCTGTGAAACACTTAAGGAACGCGGAGCCCCTCCCCAACCAAAAGGGTTCCTTCTTCAGGGCCCCGACTGTATGTTCTGAGTCGTGGTGGTCAACATAGATACCGACAGTCGCTAATCCGCGGACCTCGCCCAGGGTGCATTCTGACAAGAACCTCTGCGAGAACCCAGCCGTGGTGGCGAAGGTCCTCCAGGACGGGCAGCTGTGTCGGCACACTCTCCTCCCCTGCTGCAGTCGAAACGCTGCCATAAGGAACCCGAAGTAAGGAACGAAGCCCCTTTTTTCCAGAAGTTCAACTTTGATCTCCCAGCGAGGACCTGAGGAAAACCTCAGACATTGTGTAAAACGGTTACCCCAGATTTCGTAATAAAAGGGAGGGGGTCACAACCCTCCCAGACGAGAAGCTTTAGACCCCCCCAGACCATCCATGAAAGGGCGGCCCTTTGCCCAGACCCCCCCTAATCCTCCAAGACAGCTCAAATCAGACCCCCCCCCAAAATGTGACCCCCCTACTTTATCATGGAATCTGGAGTAAGGAACACTAAGCCCTTCCCCAACGAAAACGGTTCCTCCTCCACGGGCACGACTGCATCGAAGCAGGGCGAATGGAGACAGGGGCAGCGCAAGATCGGTCTCCCGGGGCCCCTCCCGGGGTCCCCGCACACCAGCGCTCCGAGGCGTCCAGCCGCGACGACGATAGGGCCCTCCGAAGGCTTACTGTTAGGTCGGGCCTGTCCCCCATACAGGGGGATGTTCGACGAAAAAATGGAAACAATACGCAGAACATGCTCCAAAATGGTCAAACAATGATAACAAAAATGTCCCCAGGCGATTTTTTGACTATTTTTGAATGTTCCTCCTGTAGAGGGACAGGCCCGACTTAAGCTTACTGCCGCCGTCTGCACTCGCCCTCCTCTGAAGCGTGCTGGTCCTCGAGCCTTGAACTCGAAGTCCTTGCGCTTCTCGTCGTGATCCTCCGCCCTGCGGCACAACCACAGCACATGGGCGACGCCGCCCCAGCAGGAGCTGCACATCCTCGGCGCCTATCCTCGCCGTCCGATGCCCTGCGCCTCCGCCTGGGCCGGCGCGGGGGAAAGTCGACGACCCGGCCTTGGACATGCTCTGCTTTGAGCAGGGACCGACCGTCCCGGCAATCCTATAGGCATACTGAGACATGTTCTTAGAAACCCAAAATGTTCTAATAACAGACATGTTCTTAGAACGTAAACCCGATATGTCAAAACAAGACAGTCTCAACCAGAAATGCTCCAAGAACTTTTCGTGAAGACCGCGACAGGTTTGTAGATTTCTGGTGGGCCCATTAGAAAGCCAGGACGCGTCGCCACTGCTCGCCTGCTATGTTGCATCGTCGGCGGGCTGGGACAATTCGGGGATCTCCGAGATACGGCGGCTCTGGAGGGCGCAGCCAGCGCCGCGGCCTTTTCAGAGATCGTGCCCCAACGCTCGGGACGAACATCATCCTGGTCCTAGCCCCGCCCGACCTGCTCGCGGCTCTGTTCACGCCGAACCAGCGCCGCCGAATTCGCGAAAATCTACGTCGCATCCGCGTCAGACCTGCTAGGACCTCGCGCTGGACCCGCGGCGGATGGCAGAGAACGTGCCGCGAGTTGCTGGCACGAGGGGAGAGGTGGGGCAACGTGTGGGGGGGGGACCGGCTCAGGGGGGGAAATCATCGACCTGGAATCGGCGATACATCGCCGATGTATCGGCCATGCGCCCCAGATAGCCAAACCGCACGTCACTGGGCAAGATGGGTTGTCCGGCCCCCTATCGCCTATCAATCGGCGACTCGGGCTCGATGCATCTCCCCCCGCCGAACCTATCCCCCCCCCGAACGTTGCCGCCGAGACCAGAACCGATCGACGTCGACTCGGAAAGACCGATCAGAACGGGATGTGCGTCGCATCGACGCCTCCGCAGGGGGGGGCAGCCACGCGACGGCCCGAGCAATCCGCGAGGGCCCCCGGCGGCGCCGGCGGTATCGACGTCGTCGGCGTTGGCATCGGCGTTAGCGTCGTTGTCGGCGTCGTCGTCGTCGTCGTCGTCGGCGGCGGCGGCTGCGGCGGCGTTGGTGTCGGCGGCGGCGGCGGCGTCGTCGTCCCCCCCACCATCCCATGTGGGGGGGGGGGGGCCTGTGGAACCCTGGGAGCCATCCCATCTGGGGGAGGGGCCTGTGAACCCTCGACCCGCGATCATATATGCATGTTCCTTCAGGGTTCGCGGGGCATATCCCAGATAGCAAGGTGGTGAGGCTGAAACATCATGGCCCGGCGAAAATGGGGATGGGCTGGACGATGCCGAAACACAGAAGCCCCTGGGGTGTTCACTCTGGGCTGTCTCCTGACGATCCTGGGGCCCGGCGAGGGCCTCCGGATGCCGAGAGCGAAGCGAAGGAAGGCGTGCTCCCCTGGGGAGACAAAACGATACCGCCCCCACCGATCCGTGGACCTTTGGCGGCGCGCACGAGGGGGTAGGGGGAGGGGGGAAGGCTTCTCAGAAGGGGGCTGCTTCTTAGAAGGCGCCGGCCTTGCATCTGCAGAGAAGGCCCGCGCCTTCTGAGAAGCAGGGGCGCTTCTAAGAGGCCTTCCCCCCTCCCCCTACCCCCTTCTGCGCGTGGCCAGGACCTCCCCCGGGGCGCATCCCGACCAGCACCCCTCCGAGGACCCCCCCGCCGGGGCGACGAGGGCTCTCAAGGGACGGGCCAGCGGTCTCGGCGGATGCCCCTCCTCCGAGTCTCGACTGCTGCCGAGCCGTTCGAGCCTCGCTTCTCCGATCCCCGTCCCCGGCGGCCTGGCCTGGGCCCCGCTGGCCGGCTTACCCCCCATGGATGGGGACGTCGGTCGTTCCCTTCGAGTTTCGAGGGGCGTGTCCCCAACTGGGGTGGTAATTTGGTGGGGGTCTCGCGGGGGATGGGGATGGGGATGGGGATTGGTGGAACGATACCGATTGAGCAGGGGCCGACCGTCCCGGCGCTCCTGTAGTCATACCACGAAATGTTCTTAGAACCCAGCAATGTTCTAGGAACAAAGACAATGCTCTTAGAACATAAGCCCGATGCGTTAAACCAAGACAGCCTCCGCTAGAAATGTTCTAAGAACATTTCGCGGGAACCACAAAAAGTTCTTAGAACATTGTTTGGTGGGGCTATAGGCGAGCCGGGACGCTTCGCCACTGCTTGAAATGTGGTGGGGGTCTCGAAGGGGATGGGAATGTGTCCCCAACTGGGGTGGTAACTTGGTGGGGGTCTCGAAGGGGATGGGGGATGGGGACGGGGATTCTCGCCATCGCTCGGACGTCCATTCCTTGTGTATTGTTCGATTTCGTGCGTGTTATTTCACCAAATTATCAAGGATGGTCCTCGATGGCCGTCGCCGAGAAAAAATGCACACGTCCGAGCGATGCCAAAGATTGGTTACTCCAGATTTCGTAATAAAGGGAGGGGGGGTCTCATTTCGGGGGGGGTCTATTCCAGGCTATCTTGTCGGGGAGACGTAAGACCCGGGTACGGGGGACTCGGAAATCCCCGACGAGGTCGTCAAAAAAATGGCGAGGCCGAGCCTGCATTTTGACGAGGCCTCCCGCTGCAGACATCCCACGAAACTCCTCCTCGTCAAAATCCGAGGCGCGGTCGTCAAAAATCGATGGCGAACCCGAGTCCTGGCAAACCCGGGTCTTACGCTCCCCCGATCTTGGAGGGCCTGGGGGGTCTGCGGACGATGTTTTGGAGGGTTCTCCCACGGGGGAGGTCTGAAATGGCCTGTCTTGGAGGGTCCAGACCCCCTCCCTTTTATTACGACATCTGGAGTAAACGATACCGAACTTTCGATGCCTGGGGCCGGCCGGCACCTGTCGCGGCTGGGGAGCCCCCGCCGGAGGGCAGCGGCGGCGGCGGGCGAGCCGCGCCGGCACCGCCGTCACTCCTCAGGGTGGCGGCGTCCGAACCCCACCTCCGGGGATGGACAGGCCTCCCTCTGACGCGAATGTGCGCGGCGCTGAGGCGAGAGCTGCACTTTGAGGAGGAGGAGAGGTTTCGGGAGCGGACGAGTTTGGGGACGAGTTGATTCACCGCGGAGAGCTCCAGGGGGGGGGGGCCAAAACTAAAGACGTATAGAGGTTAGTAAAACGTGGTTTAGTGGAAACGACCTCGGGCCCAAACCTGGCGGGCGCAAGCCTGGAAAATGACGGCCGCGGCGCCCTCTCGAGAACCGAAAACGGACAATTCACTAATCGACGCGTCAGGCTAGGAGGTCTGTCCACCCCCGATACCTCCACCGACCATCGCTTCCCCTGGGTTGATGGGCCTCTTTTCCACCACCACCACCATAAGCTGGAGGGGGAAGGGGGTCCTCCTCCTCCTCCTCCTCCTCCTCCTCCTCCTCCTCCTCCTCCTGCTGCTCCTCCTCCTCCTCCTCCTCCTCCTCCTCCTCCTCCTCCTCCTCCTCCTCCTTCCCCCCATCCAACTTATGGTGGCGGTGGTGGAAAACGAGGGCCAGGGCTCGGATTTCGCCACGCGCTCGACGAATTCCAAGCCCCACCCCCGCCTGCCCCATCGAGTGGCCCGCATCGCCGATCGAGGGCATCATGACATCAACAGAGACCGTCGGAGGTGGGCACGGCCTCCTCGGACCGGCGCTGCGGCCCCCTGGCGGCGCCTCTGGCGCCGCCCCTGCGGGCCCCGCGCGCCAGGGGAAGGGGTCCAGCGCCGATGCGAGAAATCCGCGCGGACCTCCGAAAGCTCATGTTTTATGTAGTTTTTTTGTTCCCTCGGGGATGGACCGACACCCCCTCAGTAAAACGTGGTTCAGTGAAAACGACCCGAGGCCCAAACCTGGCGGGCGCAAGCCTGGAAAATGACGGCCACGGCGCCATCTCGAGAATCGAAAACGGACAATTCACTAATCGACGTGTCACTGTTGGGGGTTCTGTCCACCCCCGATTCCCCGATGATGTGCGAGGGCAAGGTTCGGAATTCGCCGACGATCCTCCGGCGCGCCCGAGTGCCTGATGCGGCACCAGCGGAGCAGCCTGCGAGGCACGGAGAGCACCTGCCGGAGGACAGAGACAATGCCAGCCGAGCTCCTCGACGATACGACCAGCGCGCATGACGAGGAGGAACGATGAGGATGCACGGATACCTTGGAAGACCACTTCGGCACCTTTCCAGCGGGGCGCGGCCAGCAAAAGCGGCAAAGCATGGGCCGATCGGGAACGATCAGCAGAAGAGAAAACGCCATAAACATACTCCAGATGTCGTAATAAAAGAGAGGGGGTCTGGACCCTCCAAGACAAGCCATTTCAGACCTCCCCCGTGGGAGAACCCTCCAAAGCATCGTCCCCAACCCCCCCAGGCCCTCCAAGATAGCCTGGAAGAGACCCCCCCCCCGAAATGAGACCCCCCTCCCTTTATTACGAAATCTGGAGTACGCTTTGGGCGCTCCGCGCGGAGTTCTTGCATCTGCGTGACGCCCATCCCTGGCGCGCGGAGCGCGCCATGGGCGGCGCCGGAGGCGCCGTCAGGGGTGGGTGGGGGGCAGCGCGGATCCAGAAATCCGCGCGGAGCGCCAAAAGTTCAGGTTTATGTAGTTGTTCGTCTTCGAGGTGACCATCGGTCGGAAGGGAAGAAGTAGGTAGAAACATGAGTAGGAAGGAACTTAAAGTAGATTGGGTCCCGTCCACACCCCAAGGAGGACGAAACAGGTGAAACCACTGGATCGTTGAAATAGGAAGGCGCCTAATGTAGATTGGGACCTGGGACTCCAGAAATACCTACTTTCAACTCGGGGGCGGCCAAGAGGGGGGTGTCCAAGAGAGGGGGGTTCAAATCATGGCCGGCGGCATGTGCGCGTCCCAAGGGGGGGGGGCAGGGACGTATTGAAATATGAAGAGGCGCCATGAGATCTGGGGAAAAATCATGGCCCCCGCCATGATATCCCCCCCCCCTAGTCATCACCCCCCCTCTTTGCCGCCTCCGCTCAACGACCGATGGGTAACCTTGGGAAGTTGCTCATCCTTACGGTGCGCTCTGAGTGTAGGATTGGCTCTTCGGTCCTGGCGCGTTCCTGGACGTGTCGGCCCTCGGGTGCTGTAATCTGCGCCCCCCCCCCCCAGAGGCCATCGAACACAAGGCTGGGGCGACGACCTACCGCCTGGGGAAGCGGTCGGGATCTCGGGGGCCGCGGGTTGAACAAAAACCGGTCGGGGATATCACGCTGGGGGACCCCCCAGACTGCCCCACAGATAAGCCCCAAAACTGCCCTGAATGAGCTCCGCGAGAGCTCCTCAAGAAGAGGTGACGGAAGGTGCCACCTGTGCTGTGACGGCCTTCGGTGCTCGAAACACTGCCACCAGACGGGGCCTGCCGCAAGCAGCTGGATATCAATGCCACGCTGCTTGCGTTGAAGATATCCTGAAAGTAGAGGAAACAAAAACTATGCACATACACCGATTCTGGCCAGGCCCATCCTGAGCCCAGGATCGGTGCATACGCCCTCCTACCTTGGCCAGGAAGGCATATGCACCGATCCTGGGTCAAAGATGGGCCTTGCCAGGATCGGTGCATGTGCATAGCTCTCTTCGCCCGATGAAAGGGCCCATAATAGATGGGCTCGGACCGCACCACATCGGCGGTGCACTGGCGATGCCCAAATGGAGAAGTTCGTGTTCTGGATCGCGCCGCATCGCCGTTGCATCCGATGCGGTGCGGTCCTCCGACCCGGTCTACTCCGACTTCATTCGTGTACATGAGCGAACGGATACAACGAACAGATCGAAAGACGACGCGCGCGTTACTGATCCTTTCCATCCCTCCCGAACCTGTGCACATGCCTCGCACGTGCGCGCCAACTACAGCTTGAGCCGCGCGGCAACGGCGTAACACGACGGCAAGATGAGGACAACATCGGATGAGGATCTCGCCATCGCTCGGACGTCCATTTCCCGTGCATTTCTCGGTTTCGTGCGTGGTTTTCTTGCTCGATGGTCCAGGATCGTCCTCAATGGTTCTCGCCGAGAAAAAATGCATACGTCCGAGCGATGCCAGGGGATAGATCGGGGGTCTCTGAGAGCTGGCGAACCTGTAGGGTGCACGGGGCGCCACGGCGGCTTCAGCTCCCCAGCGAGCTCTTGGGAGCTCTCCAGCAAGCCGTGGGGTCGTGGGATGGCTGCGCAAACTTCAAAGTCTGAATGGGTCCTGAACACGCCGTCAGAAAAGGGACCCAGAAACTAGAGAAACAAAAACGGCATCAACGCTTGACGGTCCGCGCGGGTATCTTGGATCTGAGCTGGACCCGTATCCCTGGCGCGCGGGACGCGCCAGGGGCGGCGCCTGAGGCGCCGCAAGGGGGCCCCAGCGCAGATCCAAGACATCCGCGCGGACCGCCACGAGCTCATGTTTATGTTTTTTGTTCTTCGAGTGACCAAGATGAAGAACTGGCCCTGGGGATACAGTGGAGGCCCGACCACAAGAAACCATCCTCAAGAAACCCAGCCCTGAGACCCCAGGACGTCCCATTTGTTGGTGCGGAAACCTCACGCCCTTCACACCAGAACCATCGAGACCAAAGAAACCCAGGGCACCCTGGAGGCAAGCAGGGTGTTTCTTGGCATGGGCCCCCATTGTATGTTTATGCAGTTTTTCGTTCTTCGAGTGAACAAGGTGAAGAACTGGCCCTGGGGATAGCCATGGGAACTGGGACCCGCTTCCCTCAGGACCTCTTTCCTCCGCTCGAGCGACGCAGGAAAAACGGATCTTACGCGAGAGGACGCCGCGACCTTACGCGGTGGCTTACGCGGGCCGCCAGCGCGGCACGCCACACCGGAAGCGAGGGCGCTGACGCGCGACCTCACGCGGGCAGCTTACGCGCCAACGTCGGCGCAGACTGTTTGTTGCGCCGCCCACTTGGCTGCGCGCACACGGGGGTGGCGCGAGGGGGACGGCCATCTTAGAAGCCCTGAGGGCTTCTGGAAGGCAGATGCCTTCTTGGAAGGGCCCATGGGCTCGAAAAACAATAGGTCCCGATACTGCTTCACGGCAAAGCCAAAGCCTCATGACTTCGCAATTCCATTGCCCATTCTCCGAGAGAAGGGGCCGGCGGCAGGGGGCGATGCCCTTACGGATATACACGCTCCTCCTTCTTTTCCTCCTCCTCCTCCTCCTCCTCCTCCTCCTCCTCCTCCTCCTCCTCCTCCTCCTCCTCCTCCTCCTCCCTCTGCCCCCGCGCAAGCCCCGCTCCTGCAGAGGGCCCCCTCACCAAGGCCGCCGCCCCCCCCCCCCCAAGAGAGGAGAGGGGGCCGGGGCCGGCCGCGCGCACGCCGGCACGTCGGAGTCTCGCCTGGGGGGGAGGCGGCGGCGGCGGCAGCTCCTCGTGCCTCATCGTGCCCCCGCCCCCTGCTGGCTCCTGCAATCTCCTCCTCCTCCTCCTCCTCCTCCTCCTCCTCCTCCTCCTCCTGCTCCTGATGCTCCTCCTCCTCCTCCTCCTCCTGCTCCTCCTCCTCCTCCTCGTGACCCCGCCCCCTCCTGGCTCCTTCAACCTCCTCCTCCTCCTCCTCCTTCTCCTCCTCCTGCTGCTGCTGCTGCTCCTCCTCCTGATCTTCCTCCTCCTCCTCCTCCTCCTCCTCATCGTTTTTCTATTTCTGCTTGTTAGTAGTAGTAGTCGTACTCTTATCATCATTGTTATTATTGTTGGTAGTATTGGTATTCATATTCCTCTTTTTCTTATTATAAGTAGTGTTGTTCGTCTTATTATTGTTAGCATTGGTATACGTATTACTTGTATTGGTACTAGTCGCAACGACATTTGTACTAGTCGTATTATGTTTATTGCTGTTAATGTTACTGTTCTTGGTTTTATTAGATTCGTTCTTATTGTCCGTCGTCTGTTCTTCTTATTCCTCCTCCTCATCCTCCTCATTCTCATCCTCCTCCTCGTGCCGCCGCCCCCTTCTGGCTCCTACAATCTCCTCCTCCTCCTCCGCCTCCACGTCATGCTGCTGTTCCTCCACCTCCTCCTCCTCCTGCTGCTGCTCCTCCTCCTCCTCGTCCTCGTGCCCCCGCCCCCCTTCCTGGCTCCTGCAACATCCTCCTCCTCCTCTTCTTCCTTCCTGCTCCTCCTCTTCCTCCTCTCTTGCCCTCCTCCTCCTCCTCCTCCTCCCTCCTCCTCCTCCTCCTCCTCCTCCTCCTGTGCTCCTCCTCCTCTCCTCCTCCTCATGCTGCTGCTCCTCCCCTCCTCCTCCTTCCTCCTCCTCCTCCTCCTCCTCCTCCTCCTCCTCCTCCTCCTCCTCGTCGTGCCCCCGCACCCTCCTGGTCCCTTCACCTCCTCTCCTCCTCCTCCTCCTCCTCCTTCTCCTCCTCCTAATCTTCCTCCTCCTCCTCCTCCTCCTCCTCCTCATGCCCCCGCCTTCTCCTGGCTCCTGCAACCTCCTCCGCCTCCTTTTCCTCCTGCTGCTGCTGCTCCTCCTCCTTGTCCTCCTCTTCCTCCTCCTCCTAAACCTACTCCTCCTCCTCCTCTTCGTGCCCCGGCCCCCTCCTGGCTCCTGCAACTCCTCCTCCTCCTCCTCCTCCTCCTCCTCCTCCTCCGCCCTCCTCCCTACTCCTCCTCCTCCTCCCTCTCCTACTCCTCCTCCTCCTCCTCCTCTTTCTCCTCCTGCTGCTCCTTTCCTTCTTCACATATATATATATAGATATAACATATCCCTGTCGCACTCCGAGGCAAGTTGTTAGGTCGGGCTGGGCGTTTCGCTTGAGACTCCCTCGCCACTTGTGACTCTGAAGACTAAAAAGTGACAGCATGTTCCCATGTGGAGGGCGGGTTATTTTCAAAATGTGGCTCTCGCCTTAGCGCCGCGCACATTCGCATTAACACTTTGCAAGGGTTTCCCGGATTGAGGGCGGTTCCTTTTCAAAATGTGGCTCTCACCTTAGCGCCGCGCACATTCGCATTAACACTTTGCAAGGGTTTCCCGGATTGAGGGCGGTTCCTTTTCAAAATGTGGCTCTCACCTTAG